GGTAAAAGGACAAGGCATGTTGCCACTCTCTCTCTCTCTTTTCCATCTTCTTTTCGTCCTGCGAACTTCCTGAAATGAACTGCTGGCTGCCAGCCAAGCAGTCCCTCAGGTCATCTCCCTTATGGGGTAAACGTGTTTTCATACATTTGTGACTTTAAGCCTAAAGTCTGCCTTCAGGGATCACACTGTGCGGTGCTTGATCATGAGTAAACTTTCTTTTTATTGCTTATGAATAAGACTGTGGTGTCTTTATTCTTTTAGGAGGGATTCAAGGGGTTTTACCAGGAAAATATTAGAACACGTTTCAATCTGGACAGGCCAGATTGAATTATGTATTGTCTTAAGAAACTCACACGAGTTTGAAACTAGTTTTTGCTGTGCGTGAGAAGGGGAATGTAAATTCTGCTAAGTAAAGGAATTTGCTAGCGCAAGTTAGGAAGGATATTAATAAACAATATATCCTCTACTGCCACCCTGAACATTCCCACAAGCACTATAATATATGGGTAGTATTCAATGTGAGTTCTGCTCGTTCATTTCAATGGGTCTTCTGAGTATCACTTAGTTAAATACTGGCTTAAGTGCACAAGCAGTTTGCATGGATACCAGTGTTTGCACCCTCCAATATGGTCAGTTACAAAATATAACCATATCCCTACTCCCTTTCATTTTGACTTATGTTCCAATTCTTGTAGACCCCACCTAATGGGGAAGTACCATAACATATTTTTGATAATTCTGTGACTGAATCCCTGTGCTTATGCTCTAGAAGGAAGGAAGGAAGGAAGGGAGAGAGAGAGAGAGAGAGAGAGAGAGAGAGAGAGAGAGAGAGAGAGAAGAAAGAAAGAAAGAAAGAAAGAAAGAAAGAAAGAAAGAAAGAAAGAAAACATGGGTGGGGAAAAGAAAAGAGTGGGAATATTACAGGATAGACACACTCCACAATTTGGCTGCCATCTACAGGGCTATAACGACTTTGAGCTCGCTGCCCTCTGCTATTAGCAAGGATCACATGAGTTGAAATTCATCTAATATACCTCAGGGTTCCTGTTTATCAAGCTAACCTCCGCTGTATCTCTTCCTTACTACGACAAATGAATTGTTTAGGCCGCCAACACAAAGCACTTATGTTGGACACGGATCAAAGGCAGATATTCAAGAGGAAGTTAATAGGTTGGTATCCTTCCCCAGCCCTTCTGTGCTGTTCCTCTTGCCACACAGCATAACAACACATCATGTTATGTAATGTTACTTGATTCCTCCTGGCTTTCCAGCATCTAATGCAAGCATAGGAGAGGTGGCAGATGGTGTAGGATTCATATGCAGAGGCAGCTCTGATACAGAGGCATCAATGGAGGCCTGGAAAGACAAGACGTGCAACAGAAGCATTTTTAGGAAAATGCCCAAATAGGATTGGAATGAACTTGCTGCTTTATAAACTGGGGTGAAGGAAGTCGTGTATGCCAGTCCAGCCTATACTTTGCTTTTCAGTTTGTCTTGAGCTAAAAATAGCTTAATTCCATCAAAACCATCTGTTCTTTGATTTTACGGTGGTTGGTTTTTTTTTAAAGGGTACATTACAGAGCCAATAAATGTTTCTTGTCTCTTATCAGCCTGGAAAGAAAGTCATGAGGATGGAAAACCTGATTCCCAATTACCTGCTGCCTGGAACATTTTGCACCTTCGGTTATACAAAAAGGAAAAACGAAGAAAAAAAATCCTCGATATTTTGCTCATCGGGAAATTTGATTGGCTGCGGCATACTGACAATTGCTCCCAGAATTGATCAAGGATGGTTGCAACAGAACTAGGCTAACCCAACTGCATCCAAACGACTTTGGGTGAAAAAGAACAGCAGCTCTGTAAAACCATAGGCTTAACTCCCGCATATCAGTCCATACAGGTGTAGCACCACAAGAAAGCCCCACAACAACCTCTTTGGGACAGGCTTCCCACAGCTATGGGACAAGTGCTGAGAACATCCATCTGCATGCTACAACTTGACATGCAGGAAGAATGAGCACCAATTTCTTGCCAGATCAGAGATTGTATAATAGCCTTTTTGCTAAAGTCGGGAATACCTCATGTTGTAACAATGCCATGTGGAAATATGGGGAAAGCATTAGAAAATCAGATACAGTGGTACCTTGGGTTACATATGCTTCAGGTTACATACGCTTCAGGTTACAGACTCTGCTAACCCAGAAATAGTGCTTCAGGTTAAGAACTTTGCTTCAGGATGAGAACAGAAATCGTGCTCCAGCGGCGCGGCGGCGGCAGGAGGCCCCATTAGCTAAAGTGGTGCTTCAGGTTAAGAACAGTTTCAGGTTAAGAACGGTCCTCCGGAACAAATTAAGTACTTAACCCGAGGTACCACTGTACAGTCATACCTCAAGTTGAATGTGCTTCAGGTTGAACACTTTCGGGTTGCGCTCTGCAGCAACCAGGAAGTAACAGAGCGTGTTACTTCCGGGTTTCGCCGCTTGCGCAGGCGACGCCACGCACATGCGGGGAAGCGGCAAAACACGACCCGCGCACGCGCATCTTACGTTCCATTCAGGATGCGAACGGGGCTCCGGAACAGATCCCGTTCGCATCCCAAGGTACCACTGTATATAATCTAATGGCCCCGTAAACCTATACGATATACGATACGATATACGATATCTTTATTGTCGTTATCCCTTGCGGAACAATGAAATTGAAAACTACATAAAACTACAACAAAACTACATAAAACATTCAAAAAAAACCCTAAACTCTAAAACCCCATTTTAAAATACACTATACTACAGAGACCCCTTATGCTGCGTTTAGAACCAGAACTGCAATAGCGTAGAAACTGTTTTTCAGGCGGCTAGTCCTGGCTTTTATAACCCTATACCTTCTTCCAGAAGGCAGAAGCTGAAAGAGATCATTTCCGGGGTGCGTACTATCATGTGCTATCTCTGCCGCCTTCTTATGGCACCTGGCAGCATAGATTTGATCTAAGGTGGGAAGAGTGCACCCAATTATTCTCTCTGCAGTCTTTACAACCCTGGATAGCATTGTTTTTTCCCCTGGCCGTGCAGCTCCCAAACCACACGCACAGACCATAAGTTAGTACGCTCTCCACAGTGCAATGGTAGAATGCCATCAACAGGTCCTTTGGGAGATTGTTTTTCCGGAGGATTCTCAGAAAATATAATCTCTGCTGTGCTCTCTTCACCAGGTCTTTGCTGTTCTCTCCCCAAGTTAGGTCGTCTCTCAACTCCATTCCCAGAAATCGAAACACCGAGACCTGTTCCACACACTTCCCCTCAATAATAATTGACGTATGTTACGGTTGTCATAATGCAATGTTTTGGTACCATTCCCCGCCCCTGTAGGATGATTGTTGTTGTTGTTGTTCATTTCAATGCTGCTTTGCATTTTAAAGAACAAATCTCAAACCGGTTTACATATCAAATAAAACAATCCAGAATAAAACAAATTCAAGCTTCAAGGAAAATATTTCAGAACCTTCTCTGACATTCTGCTTTCCTCAGTCACCAACTGCTTTCCGGACTTATTGTAGTGGGAAGGTGGGACTGAAAAATTTTAAACAAAGAAGAACAATGGTATCTTCCACTGGTTTGCAAATATTTGAACTTTTCAAGGCAAGGACTCTAGAATCAAGTGTCCAATCTGTGGCAAAATTCATACAATGCTTCAACCTCACAGAATACTGTTACTCACCTTAAGGTGGTCATGCTTGAATAAAGGAACTTCAGAGAAAGATGGTAGGTGAATCTAGTGAATTACAATTTATCAAGATTTCAATTCTATCACCCCAGTGGTCTGAGATAATGGTCTTTAATCCTCAAAAGGTGTTAATTAGCTAACCAATGCTAGGGTGTTTGTGTTAATGTTGCTTTGTGAATTGTGAATAATCATTTTTGACAAAATTAAACTTTAACATAATTATTACCACCTTTATTCTTTGCATTTCTTTCCTCTCTGATGTTACTGCTTACTTTTCTTCTTCATTCTCTTGAGACAGACAGATGCCAGCCAGCCAACCAGAAACACCCACAACCAACTTAGGATATTATTTCATGCAGCTGGTGGATTCTAATGCACTGGGGTTTATGCCTTTTTTTATTGTGGTGTAAGACATTACCTTATGATTCATAATTCAACCCTCTATAATAGCTACAGTTTCCCCTATAAATAAATTTGTAACTAAAATAAAAATCTGCTGTTCTGTAACCTTCATTTAGTAGCCAGACACTGAACGAGTTATTCCACCTGCACAGTTTAATGATTCCTCTGGCATAAAAACCCAAATGCAATTCTGAAGAGAGAAAGTAATACGTAAAAAAATGGGTCTGTGTGCTTGGGAAGAACAATTGAGTTAGTAAGCCAGGTGTTCAACCTAAGTTGAGAATAGTGCAAGACTGACTTTTGAAAGCGTCTCTATGACTGTGGGGGCTAGAAATAAATTATTATTATTATTATTATTATTATTATTATTATTATTATTATTATTATTATTATTATTTTTATTCCCCGCCCATGCAGCTTTTCCTGTCTGCTAGATTCCCGTTTGCAAGGAGTCTGACATGCAAGGGCATTTGAGCACCTGTTTTTGACCTGCAAACCAAGTGATCTCAGGAGGGCTGCACCGGGTCAGGCTACTGGTCCATCCAACCCAGAAGTATGCATTCTCTCTGGCAATGACTGCCCAGGGTATATCAGACTGAAAGGTCTTTCCTAGCACCTGCCACCTGAGACTTTTTAACCTGGAGATGCCAAGAATTTGACTAGGGACCTTCTCTGCATGCAAAGCATGCCTGCTTCCACTACGCAACGGTCCTTCCTCTCCCCTCAAGACTTATTGCCCCAAGCAGCCATGACCTTTCAGTATTGCCTGTATTCAGTACTGCACATGGCTCAAGCTGAATTGTCTCTTTTAATTTGTAAGCGTGGGTAAGGATCACGTTCGCTGAAGTTTGAAAAGCAGACGAAGACACACAAGAAGGTAATCAGGAAGGCTGGACATGGCATGTCAGGTTTTATTAGTCGGAAGTGTAGTCAAACCCCAGATCAGATTGCCACCAGCATCTCATATGGCGGGTGTACTCTCCCCCACCTTGGGCAATACTATAGTGCAAGAACTGATCCCTCTGCAAATCTGCCCACACTTTTTGAAAACAAAACAAGGACAAAAAAATAATCAAATATTAGCTGTAAAAATGAGTTAAAACAGGCCCCTCCCCAACAGATTAAAAAAACCCAAGAGAACATCCCACATACTTAATGCAACAGAACTTATCATACCCAGTTTGTGGAATTCTCACAGGCAAGACACATTTACAGCACTTGGAGCCTTGAGGTAGCATTTTTAAGCAAAATTGAAATTACCTTTGTGACCGGAGAAAAGCATTCATAGCACATGGTTTAAGATTTAGATAGGCTCAGAAAATTTGTGCCACGTGCCTAAGAGATTAGGGACTGCTTTCTGCTTCCTGGGTGATCAAGGCGCAACATAGCCCTACAGCCTGTACAGGGAGAAACCACACAGAGAGAAGGCCTCTTCAAATGAATCATGTGGTTGAGCAACTGGAACACACTGACTTCACCAGCAGTACTCACAACAAAATATAACGGGGGGGCCAGACCCAGAAAAGTTGTATTTTTGGCAAGACTAGTATACAAATACATGTCAATAACAACTGAAAAGAAAATGGCATTTAAAGGGGGTTACCTTTTCTCCTCTGCAAACCTGCACTTCACATATCAACATTTCATTTCTTACATACATTTAGTGAAATTTGTGCTGTGACATTAACAGAAGTATAACACAGGGACACTGTAAGCTCTTCCTACCAGCCTCAAAAATGACAAGCAGAAAGCTGTGTTGTTGTTTTAAAAAAGGACCATATGAAGAGATATCACTCTCATTAGTCACTTTGCTGCTGAGTTCTCTTATTAAAGCTAGACATCACCAGTGATCATACGCAAACTATTTGCAGATTTCTTTCCCCCCTTGATAAAGAGCAATACCAGAAGCAGAAACAAAATTCTTAAAATACGTTCAAATGTCATAAGGAGTTAATGCAGCTATGGTAAAGCAGTGATCAAAAAATGGGAGCTGAACCACTCTCGGTCAATATTGCTAGACTCCAGGGAGACTGGGGATGGAGGCATGAAGGGGAAATAGTAGATGTCAACATGATTCGTCCAAGTATCTTTCACTCTAAGCATTTCACAATACATCATTTTACAAATAGCCAAATCATTACCACTCAGACATATAAAAAATGGCTCATTTTAAAAGTAATGTTGATGTCTTCAGTGCGAGGAGCAATCCACACGGCTACAAACTGGACTTGCGTTTAAATCCAGCCAAAGAAAGAAGACTGTCCTCCTTGAATGTTCAGCTGGAATTCCCACACAACTTATCACAGGAACACCAGAAAACTGTGGCTCTTGATAGTGAGTCATATGACCAGTCCACCATCCATAAACACACAGAGATAAATCAGTTTTGCACAAAAAGGAACGTCCAATTTTGGGATTGTGCATTTGAGCCCTTCAACTTGCCTGCTTTCAGTAAAGTATAGAAAATAATTTTCAGCAGGTAGTCTATAGATCAGTATAATTAGTCTGGCCCTCACCCACTCTACTTCCTGTAAAGCCATTTCCCTTCCCTGTCTTTTCTTTCTAATGCAGCAGAATCCTCTACAAAACTCTAACAAACAGAACCCCAGAACTTCAGCTTGGCCAGGTTGAGAAGGTGCCATTTTGAGTAACGTGTTAAGAACTATAAAGCAATGTTATATAGGACAAAGACAAACGCCTGCAGGGTTCCAGTGAATAAGTGCTCAGCATAAGAAGGGAAGGCCTCTACTGGCTGGAACTGTGGGTCTAGAAGGAATTTGGCTCACCTGAAATTTGACAAAATCTTAAGGAAAACTTGAGAATGGCTTGAATGCATACCTGCTCAACTCAGCTTACAAAGGCTCCACGGTGACCTTTTTCAACCAATCCCCTTAATTAGATCCACAACCTAAAAGAAGTTTACACACTGAAAATCCTACAATGAAAAACAATATCTTTGGTGTAAAATCTTAAGATGAATGAAGCATATTTTTCTTCTGGGCTTTTGTAGCATACCTGTCTCCTACAAGCAGAGAACGCACAGCTGAAATGGAGGTGTTGGGGGAAGAAGCGCAGGATACAATCACCAGAGCTTGGACGTCTTTTCCATTGGCTTTCATTACATTAAAAAAGTCCTTTTGCCTTCAAGCTAGTACAGTATCATTCCCTGATTCAACAACGTATTAAAAATTATGTCTTAAATTGCTAGTGTAAAAACATAAAAATGAGACAAATTGGGAAATGGCTACTATGAGCTAATTGGTGGTTTAGATCTGTGGCATTGCCAAGAAGGAATTATGAATGGTGGAATTATTTCAGGTTTAAATGGCTGGGCCACAATGAGTAAAAGGTTTTAATCTATCATTGCAAATCCATAATTAGTGAAAATCTCTCTCCAAAATAGTCATGTTTATAACACACTGAGAAACACTGATAATGAAATAGTCAAAGCAAAATGACTACTGACAGGTTCCAAAACTTTTTCCTTAAGAATGTTCTTTCTAATGCAATAAAGAGAATTGTTTTAAAATCTAACGGTTGTAGATATAATACTTGGATAACATTTAATCCAGATTTTTGGCCAAGATCAAATATAGTGAGAGCAGGAGGCCCCACAAGAAACAGGGCTTTTCCTTCCTCTCTCCCAAAATCTGCTCCGGAGGGTTGGGGAAATTGCCAGAGCAGATTTTTGCGGAGAGTGCACAAGTGATAAAAAGAGGGAGAAGAGAAAATCCCAAATTCTAGTGTGCAAACAGATTTTCATCGCACAGGTGGTGAGCATCACTGGATGTTGCTAATTATTTTAAGTAAGCAGTAAGATAGAAAGAAGATACTTTTTTAAAAAAAAATGCTGCTGACTTAGCAAGTGTTTTGGAGAAATGTAGTTAACTGAATCTGAGCTCAAAAGATCCCTCCAGCCACAACATCAATTGTTCAGGGAGTGAGATTTTTTCATTTTAGGTTTCTTTCTTTCCTTTTTTTTTAAAAAAAGAAATCATTCTCGTTTGAAGTAAGTTTCCAAAAAAGATTTCGCAAACAGACTTGCCAACTGGAAAGTATATACCTAATTTTGTTAAAGAATGCTGTAAAATATTACAGTAGAAGGGAGCCCCTTAAGTACATAAATATAAGTTACAAAAAACCCCAACCCTCCTTAAAAAAAAGAGCATTAAAACTGATTCTGCGCAGGGCAGTGCCATGCAAAATTGAAGTGTGTAAAGAATCCCCACAAACAGGAACTTGGGTTACGCACTTCTGTTTCCCATCAGACCACAGATTTAAGTCTTAATCAAGAAAACAGGTCAACTTTTGGAGGACAATATTGTTGCAACACTTCTGGCCACTGGATCCCTTGACCTAATATTCAAATTCACTGTAGCCTAAAAATATAAAAAAAAAACCCTAATTCCGTTTTCTGCTAGATACTGCTCAGAATTCAGTATTTTGCTTCATTATTCATCGGCTGGAGTAGGTCCACCCTTGGACCCAGAAGCTTTAGAAGCTGCAGTACCTGCTATTTGCAGCAGGTGGCAGGGAAACCTCAGAACTCGCTAGCTCCGAAATCTTCCCATGCCCTTGACATTATCAACTATTTCAAATCCAACATCTGTATTAAAAGCAGATTGATACTCTGTCGGGGGGAGGAAACGTCAAAAGGAAGATACTGTAAGGAGGTAGCTGTCCCTGAAAGAAGGAAGAGCCACCTGCTATTCCAAATCACAATTACAAAGTTTTCTCTCGCAATGATTTTTTTTTTAAACAAGAACAAATAAGAGGGCTCCACATCTTTCGTATCAGGCACTTGAATTGTTGGAGAGACATGCCATTCTGAATCAAGCAAAGTGAAAGGAGGATTAAGAGACTCAGCAGTAAGCTAGGTCTAATAATGAAATTTCAGCAGCAGCAAAGCAGAGGCCTGGAGCAAACCTTGACCTGTCCGGCTGTGCTGAGACCTATGTAGGTTTCTAAAAAAATGCCCAAGAAGACACCAATAGCCACTGTCCCATAGTGTCCTTCTTTCATTTGTGTGGTGCTGCGCTGTTGCTAATAGGAGACTTTTCTGTGTCTTGAACTGAGAAGGCACTAAGGTACTCTGTGCCTAGTTGCCTGGATGGGTCAGGTCCAAGCTGGAACCAAACAACGCTACCAGCTGCTCTTCGTAATGGGTTATATTCCTCTTCATAATGTCCATGCAGGGCCCAAGTAACCTTTCGAATGCTTGCACATCCATAACTGCACAGAAACACAGGGAGACATGGAAAGAATGCATCAAAATAGACTTCAAGGGAAATCCCCGGCCCCACCTGCACCTCCAAAGAAAACTGGAAGTAGAACAAGTCAACCAGGAAAACAGGGAGATATTGTTCCTTGAGGTTTTTATGGCTGCTCCAAGAGCAGCCACCTGTTTTAGGGAAGTTTTTAATGTTTGATGTTTTATCGTGTTTTTAATTTCTGTTGGGAGCCGCCCAGAGTAGCTGAGCCCAGTCAGATGGGCGGGGTATAAATAATAAACTTGTTGTTGTTGTTGTTAATGGTTTGGACTGCTGCGTCAGCAGCATGGTAAGTCGCAGGGACAGAAGGAAAGTGGCACAGTTGATCCGAAGGATGGATCCTTTCCAGATCAGATCATTTCAAGGGAAACCACTTTTCACAGACAGCAAACTTTTGCCTGGTATTGCTATTTACTGTGGATCCCAAGGCTATTCCAGAAATGCTTCTAATTCTAGACGGTAGGCCGCATCCAGCAGAATGAACAGAAAACAAAGCCAATGAGAACAAATCAGATCTGTTAACAAGCTGGTTTCCAAACTTCTCACCAATATAACTACCCAAGCAAACACAGAGCCAAACTGGAGAGCAACTTTTCTGAAAACAGTATGCCTCCAGTATCATTGGTAGGGAGCGTGAGTGAGAGGTCTCTGTCGCTTGTGTATTTGACTGAAACTTACTGATGAGAAGAGACGACCTTTTTGGTGTCTCCCTTAATGTCTTCTGGGCACCAGGCTTTTTAATCTTTCATGGAAACTGTGTTAATATTGCTCTTTTAGATTTCAACTGTTTTATAATTTTATCACTGTATTATAAACAACCCTGGAATTATTTTTTTAACATAGCTGAGTAGGATATAAATTTACAAAATAAAAATGAAACTGAACGCCCTGTCAGATTTTGAAGCAAACTGGAAGGAACTGATTTCAACTAGGATATCCCGTGATGTAAGTATATAATTCTAGGTTGCTTTATCCCCAAAACGTAAAACACATCAAGAAATTTGGAAACCACTTTGTTACAAAACCAACAGGTACCCATTCGTTTTGCCTTCTCTCCATTCTGCAAAGTCAGAGGATTTAATAAATGTGTTCTGAAGAACACCAGAGTTCCTTAGAAGCATTTTAAGAGATTCAAGAATATCAAGGACTCTGAATGTTGGCTTGCCTGCCACTACTGATCTTCCTGTGCAACATGAAGCCACAGGAACGCTGGTTATGTTCTAGCCAGGGGTACACCTTTATCTGAATAGGACACTATTGAGACTCAACAGTTGTGATGTGGAGTGGCTGTGTTCAAACATAATTCTAGACCAAGGTTTAGTGCTATGTGCATGATCTGGAAGCCCAAGTGAAGTTTTAGGCTCACACACTTTCCTCTGCACAGGCAGAGGGATTTCACAAGCATTTACTTTCAGTTTCACAGATTACTTGCTACGCCATGTGAAACAATGGTGTGGTATATCACAAACTCAAGTCTAGTTTCAAAACAAGCACACTCTAAACTGTGGGTTATGAAACTGTCGAGTTTAAATAATCAGTTTGTGATAAACCACAATCTCTGGATTTGCTTAGAAGTTACAATTCTTGATTTTAAATGACAGCTCACTTCCTCTTGAGCAGATAATAAAGTTTCAAGGGAACTTTCTAAATACTGATATCCTTAGATAACTCTGTTGGTTAACATGACCCCTTCACTATAGGGCCTTGGGTGTCAAGTAAAGACTATCTTTTCACCTCGGCTTTTGAAAATAATTGCTCAGGTCAAGACCACTGAGGTTTGTATTGTTATTTTAACAAAGCTGCATTGCTGTTCATCAGTGTTAACTTAATTCTTTGCTTTTTATGGTTGTAAACCTGAATTTTATTGTTTTAACTGATTTACTATAAACTGCCCTTGGATTTTAAATTGATGGCTGGTTTAAAATAATAAATAACATAATGTTGGAAAGGAATTACAGAGTGTTCATTCCATCTACGACTGACTTGGTTCACTCACAAGTCAGCATATTTGTCCATAAAACTGAAGTCCATTCACTGCCTCCTATTATGGAAACGAATGTAGTCATTCACCCAAGAGTGACGAATCAGGAAACTTTAATTTTACTAGGCATCACTGACTGAACTTCCAAGTTACCGTCTTGGATGAAGAAATCAAGGCCTCAAGTTCACTTTAGATTCAAATTATGTAAACAGGCCTAAACACAGGTACTTGCCAAGGAAAGAAAACAAGTCCTTGGAAACAAATCATTGCATAGCACATCTCCTTTTGCTAGCAATCTTCTAACCAGCTGGGATCACCAAAAGCTATGCAGTGGGTCAACTCAAACATCACAATTATAACATATCGGACCCTTTAAGAAAGATGCTGACATTTTTTCAAGATTTTCTTCACAGGGAAAAGAGCTAGAAACTCAATGGAACTGATTTTCTCACTGGTGGTGCTAAGGTATTTTATTCTTTGAACCGCCCTGGAATCTCTTGATGAAGGGCGGTATATAAATTTAATAAATAGTAAGTGGGTGCCGCTGTGGGTTAAACCACAGAGTCTAGGGCTTGCCGATCAGAAGGTGGGCGGTTCGAATCCCCGAGACAGAGTGAGCTCCCGCTGCTTGGTTCCTGCTCCTGCCAACATAGCAGTTCGAAAGCACATCAAAGTGCAAGTGGATAAATAGGTACCGCTCCAGCGGGAAGGTAAACGGCATCTCCGTGCGCTGCTCTGGTTCGCCAGAAGCGGCTTAGTCATGCTGCCACATGTCCCGGAAGCTGTACGCCGGCTCCCTTGGCCAATAAAGCAAGATGAGCGCCGCAACTCCAGAGTCATCCGTGACGGTGCCTAATGGTCAGGGGTCTCTTTACCTTTACCTGAGGTACCTGAACAAAAAGATTATGGGTCCAAACAGAAGTGTAGAGGAAATGGAGCTGCTGCTGGTACTTGATCAGGAGGAACACATACAAGGAGAGAGAAAGAGTTCTTACCTAAACATTTGACCTCCCCAACTGCATAGGCAGAGGCTGCTCTGGGTTTGTTGGTAACAAGTGCAAGTTCTCCAAAATACTGTCCTTTTTCACATCGAGCAATCTCCACCTCTTGGTTTGCGTCCTTGCCTGTGACGGTCTGCATTAGAAACATTAACACTTAGAAGTGATTCTTGTTCCCCTTCAAACCCTTCTATGCAGCGACACTACTTGAGTGCCCTGCTGTCAATTCCATGGCTATCAGACTGAAGTAGCACAAGCTACAGAGCCTTTTCTGTGGTGGTGCCCTCACTGTACAACTCTGCTCTCAAAGAAGGCTGGAAGGCAGCATGGTCTACATACTGTATTTTTTGCTTTATAAGACTCACTTTTCCCCTCCTAAAAAGTAAGGGGAGATGTGTGTGCGTCTTATGGAGTGAATGCAGGCTGTGCAGCTATCCCAGAAGCCAGAACAGCAAGAGGGATTGCTGGTTTCACTGCGCAGCGATCCCTCTTGCTGTTCTGGCTTCTGAAGATTCAGAATATTCTTTTTCTTGTTTTCCTCCTCCAAAAACTAGGTGCGTCTTGTGGTCTGGTGCGTCTTATAGAGCGAAAATACGGTACATTTAAAGTTGGCACACACAGTATTTATTTCAACAGGACTCTGAGGAATGAGGTCGGTCCAGCTAGGACCCATACAATGACAACCGTTTTCTAAAAAATATTATTAATAATAATAATAATAATAATAATAATAATAATAAATTTTATTTATATCCCGCCCTCCCCAGCCGAAGCCGGGCTCAGGGCGGCTAATAACACTAAAACAGTACAACATTATAAATACATTCTAAAAATTAATTAAAATACAAATTGATGGCAACCATAGACTAAAGCTTTGTAGAGATTGCCAAAGGAGGGAGTCAGGCTGCGCCCTGACCAAAGGCCTGGTGGAACAGCTCTGTCTTACAGGCCCTGCGAAAAGATGTCAAGTCCTGCAGGGCCCTTGTCTCTTGCGACAGGGCGTTCCACCAGGTTGGAGCCGCAGCCGAAAAAGCTCTGGCTCTAGTTGAGGCCAGCCTAACCTCTCTGTGGCCTGGGACCTTCAAGATGTTTTTATTTGAAGACCGTAAGTTCCTCTGTGGGGCATACCAGGAGAGGCGGTCCCGTAGGTATGCCCCACAGAGGAACTTATTAAATTGATATTGAAACTATTGATTGATTTCACTGTTAGCTAGAGGATTCTGTACAGTTATGTTTGGAGGAATTAAAGTACAACAGGTTCTCTAAGGTAAAGTGCCACTGTAAGAGGCAGGTTCTGGGTGTTCTAGCATACTATTTGCACAGTAGTTCTCTCAGCTATCGCCTATCTACTTAAATCAAGGCTGACTTAACAAGAGGCTTTGACCCCTCAAAAGATCTCTGCAGCTGCATAATGTGAACATGGATTCCACTCAAAAGCAATAAGTGCACTGCTGAGAAGGCAAAGCACTAAGGTATTGAAAGGTATTGAAAATTGCATTTTTGTTGACTGCATTCTAATACTGCTCCATTAGGAAACATAATATTTTTTGTTGGTAGCCAAGGTACATTGTGACTGTCAGCATACGGTATAATTTAAATGAAAAACTTTTGGCATGGTGGCCCAAAGCAGATTTAACAGTAGGAGTGGGATATGGGTTCATGCACACCCTCTCTCCTCTTCTCTGCTGTACAAACACTTCCTCCTTTCTCTTGTCTGTAGATTACAATGCAACAATCTAAGAACACTGAGCTTTTAACAAGAGGTGTGCACAAGCCATAAGCTTTGGTCTGGACCCTGTTTCAGTGCTTCAGAAAACAGCCCAATTTAACTCAAGACCTATTTAGCATCCGTGTGATTCAGATCTGAATTTCAAACCAGATTCAGGAAAATCATAGCTAATCACTATTTTGAGAAATTAAAAAATGTGATAAACTACTTTTTTAAACAGAATTGGATAAAAGTTGCAGGCATATTAGCTGCGCCTGGCAAGATAAAACATCGGTTAATTTCATTGTACGCAGGTTGTACATTGACAACAAAAGTATTATTATTATGCTAATTTCCACACAAATTGATCCAAGAGTTTTTGTGCTGGGTATATATAAGTTGAACACACACACACCACTTTTAAAAATTTTTTTACTAAATGAGATTACATTTGCAGGCTTGGTAGCCCCTTCTGAAGGGATAAAGGTAAAGGTAAAGGTACCCCTGCCCGTACGGGCCAGTCTTGCCAGACTCTAGGGTTGTGCGCCCATCTCACTCTATAGGCCGGGGGCCAGCGCTGTCCGGAGACACTTCCGGGTCACGTGGCCAGCGTGACAAGCGGCATCTGGCGAGCCAGCGCAGCACACGGAAACACCGTTTACCTTCCCGCCAGTAAGCGGTCCCTATTTATCTACTTGCACCTGGGGGTGCTTTCGAACTGCTAGGTTGGCAGGCGTTGGGACTGAACAACAGGAGCGCACCCCGCCGCGGGGATTCGAACCGCCGACCTTTCGATCGGCAAGCCCTAGGCGCTGAGGCTTTTACCCACAGCGCCACCCGCGTCCCTTCTGAAGGGATAAATACTGCCAAATTTCAGAAGGGTAGCTGTATGTGAACCAGCCCCATGGTTTTCTGTCACTTATAGTATATTATTTCCTTTACAATGCATCTAAATGACCAATTCACATAGGACAATTCCTATGTATTTTAATACCATTTCAAACATAACTTTCCTTCTTATACTAAAAGTATTTCTGTAAGGTGAAACTAATTAAGAAAGCTATGTGTAGAAAATGTGCATATAAAAATGTATGTCTAGAATATGTTTTGTGACAAGAGACACATGCATGGATTGTTCACACGTAAGTGTATATGTCTCATTCCTACACAGAGAATATTGCTGCACAAAAATGACATTCTCTGTAGATTAGCCCTGAACTCTCTCCCTGGTACTGTACATTAACCTTTTCCCATTCAAATGCATATTAACTGCTTGATTTTAAACACATTTTCACAAATCCATTTGTGTGCAAGGTAACACGGAAGCAACAGCAATCTCTCAGTACATTTCCCCCTATAATATTAAGTCTTGAGAATTCACTAGCAAAGGCAATTCCACAACTGGAAATTATAACCAAACTAACACAGACCGTAAGCAAAGTGAATGCAGAAGAGGGAGAGCAAACCTCTTCTTCCCATGGAAAGAGATTTTTAGGCTTAATTGTTTGTTTGTTTAAAAAACAACAACAACCTAGTCTGTACTTTCTTTAAAGATACATATATAATGTCAAAGGGATTTCTTTTCACAACAGGATAACTTAGATTTTCTTACCAATGTATGTTTCTAACTATGGCAATTCACAGCTTTAAGGCTTTGCAGTGGTCTTGCTCACAGCCTACGTGAACTTTCGGCATCCTAAGAAACTGTTAATACCTTCACACAATTGCTTCCCTGCTCCACCCTCCCACCCCAATAGTAACTTTAGAGTAAAATAAGGAGCAGTTCTTATAGCAAGATTCTTGAAAACGATTGCTTTTTACTGGTCATTTTTCCTGATATTTGAATTTACTAAATTTTAACCAATCAGCACCACAGCGTATTTGGACTCACCTTGCTTTTAATCAAGATCTTTACTTCACCAGATTCTACAATGTAAAAGCTGTCTGCCTTATCACCCTGTGGAGACAAGAAGTTGTTTTCAGATTTGTTTTCGTTTTCTGAAACCCTGTTCAGCCCACTGACCTGGGTGGTGGTGTTGCACTGCTTGATTGTTTCACTGAATAATTTCTGTTTCATAAATTCATTAGTAACAACAAGTGGATGCCATGTACAAATCAAATATTAGACAAGCTTAATGGTTTTGAAGTTATTAGCTATAATAATAATAATAATAATTTATTATTTATACCCTGCCCATCTGGCTGGGTTTCCCCAGACACTCTTTGTTTACAAAATACACATAAACATACTAAATTATCTCTCTCTGGGGCATTTTCTGATATAAATTTCCCTAAGTTGCATGGGGGGAGGGAATTCCAATTCAAAGTATCACTGGTACAAATACTGGCATCAAACCACAATTGTGCTAAGTTCCGGAGTAAGGTAAAGGTAAAGGGACCCCTGACCATTAGGTCCAGTCGTGACCGACTCTGGGGTTGCAGCGCGCATCTCGCTTTATAGGCTGAGGGAGCCGGCGTACAACTTCCGGATCATGTGGCCAGCATGACTAATCCGCTTCTGGCGAACCAGAGCAGCGCACGGAAACGCCGTTTAACTTCCAGCCGGAGCAGTACCTATTTATCTACTTGCACTTTGACGTGCTTTCGAACTGCTAGGTTGGCAGGAGCAGGGACCGAGCAACAGGAGCTCACCCTGTCGCGGGGATTCGAACCGCCGACCTTCTGATCGGCAAATCCTAGGCTCTGTGGTTTAACCCACAGCGCCACCGGCGTCCCTAAGTTCCAGAGTAGTTCTTATAAAATGCAAACAACAGCATAGAGGCAAAATAAAAGATCCAGGTTGAATGACAAATAAGTACATCAGCAGAACCATGAAGTGCCACAGCAATACCACAGCACTTTGTTCAAGGAAAGAAGAAAGGTGCACATAAATGGCCACATTGCTTAAAACCTGAACACCAGCCACCTTAAAGGCTTATATTCATTTTACTTTCTGTATGCTGGTTTGGGTAACATAAGTAGGTATGATCAGCTAAAACAGAGAAGAACAGTTCATGCTGATAATGAAGTCAAGCTAAACCTGACATTATGAGACGAGTGTGTTGTGGAAGAACGGTGTCCACATACCTGAGCAATGATACGTTCCCCATCTTTAAACGTTTTCTCCCCTATTACATCAACAATTTTCATTCGCTCTGAAGGCTGGAACAGAAAGAGAAAATGAATTCCACCTCCCATAATCCTTCCTCCGGCATAACCTAACCAAATGCTGTAACCAAATGATGTAACATATGTGGATATGTTAAACCCTTCCCACAGTATTATTTGCATAGCTTTGTCCAAAACAGCATTGCAGTTTATGGCCAATAGGCTGTTCACCCATTCACTGTTTTTGTCACCCATGCTTGCTCTCGACCCTACTTCTTCCACTGCTTCCCTTAGTTCAAAGGAAATCTGCTTCTCCATCCCTCCCCACATCATGAAACTGGACACAGCAATTGATGCCTGTTGTCGCTTCTAGTATACCTGGAAGCCAAAGAGAAACAGCAGTGACAGCCACAAAAGCGCCATGTAGAGCTCTTTTGCCTTCATTTTAAATTAGTAACTAGAAAGGCAATAGGGAGAACCACGCATACAGCTCTTGGTGACAGCATTTCGTAAGCTGCCAGTTAGCACAAGTCATCATTCTGAAGGTTTCATTAGCATTTTCCCATTAGAACCCCTTTAATAGTGGGAACAGAGCCACACAAAGCCTCGATAGCTTGGCAGAGTTTGTCCTGCATAATTTGTCCTTTCCTCACCTTGGGACAATTTGCCAGACAAGTAGCAAGGCTGGCTGAAATATTTAATGTAGAAATAACAGCACAGTTCTAAAGGAGTTGCTGTTACAAGTCCTATCCAAGGCTGGCAGGCTCAGCCACCCACCGAATATTTACAATGCTGAAAAGTTAAGTATAGCAGTGCCCCTAAATCAATTTTAATCATTCTTTATGGGTCACCTCCAACAAAATATTTTACCTCCAGTGACTTAAGGATGGGCACTGACTCAATGAATAGTTCATACGTCTTCCTTTTCCGTGCATTGTTTTTCACAATAATTCTTCTGAACGTCACTCGATCCTTTAAGAAGAAGCATTAAAGTGTAGGTTATTTACCCTGACAACTTCTATCTGAATTAGTCAAACAAGGACCTCATCAATTGAAACAAGGAACTCATTCCTGTAAAGTTATAATTACGTTTCAATTCTTTGTAAGAAGTGTCACATTTTTTTGCTAGTCAGGGCTCTGGTACTAGCTTTTGAAATGTCCACATAGTAATGTTAATACTGGAGAGGAAACAGGAAGAGAGAAGAGAGGGGGAAATGGCTCTTTCCTAACCTGGTTTCTCTACATGCACTTTGACTGATGCGGAGAGGATACATTCAAAAACTGCTTGTTGAAAATGAGCAAACATTTATTTAGCTCAGCTCACAAGGACACATTAATTGCATACCAAATATGGAATTAAAATGTCCACATGAAATTTGCCAACCTTTCTGCAAATCCACATAAGGCAGTTCACAGTTTAAGATGGCAGCTTGTCATTTGATAAAAGCAATACATTAAGGAAAAGGGATAGAAAAGGAAGAGGAAATTAAATTCAGGCCCAATGTCCACTGCACAGGAGTATGCTGGGAGGAGAAAAGCCAAATGGCAAGTTATCTCAGCCACAATAATGGAGGGAGCATCACCATCTCAGATGCAGCTAGGTGGGATGGATGATGGAGACAATTTGGGGTGGGCGGGCTAAATGTATATTAAGCATAAAAATCAAACAAATGAGAAACCTGCACCACATGTTTATCATCTCTGCCTTAACGCCATACTGTTATTATTTTAACATTTTTTAATGTTTTATGTACACCACTCAGAAATTCTCAATATTAAGCAATATATAAAACTCTGAAATACATAAACTCCTGAGAAAACCAGCTCGATCCTGCTTTCCTAGTTACTGATAATTACATTTTAAAAATGCGCTCAAATATCATGAAACTGTAGCCCTGGAAATTGCTTAAAATCATAAAGGAAAATTATTCTGAAAACAGCCAGTCTCTGGAACAAAAACAATTGCTTGGATAAAAAAAAGAGTGTCTTAATATGTTTGGAAAGGAAGAATTCATTTGCAGCTGGATATATAGCTGCTATGTTACCTTTCCAGAAACAGTAAACTGTACACTGGGGCAAGAGAAGACAGAATCTGTAATGGCTGTGCAATAACTACAGAAAACAGTAATTCAGTTTCCCATTTTTGTCAGCTCAGGCTTGCAATGCCGCTCATGTTTAATTTCTCTAGTGTATGGCAGTGGTGGGGAGAGCCTGTCATTCAAGAATGCCCCCAGGGCCTAATAAGCAGCTGTGAGACAAAGTAAGGTAATTGAGAAAGCTGCTCCAACATGATGGCAGCATTTCGAGAAAGGAAAGAGACATGGGAGAGAGAATCTCTGGGAAGCTGAAAGCAATGCAGATAATCAAGGAGAAGCCTAGTTTATGTCCAAGAAACAAACATGTCGAGGGCATGGGCAGTGAAGCTGTTTTCATTTCTCTTCAACATTTTGGACACTAGTTTTTAAAAGGGATTCACAAGTAACAACATAAGGTATCTGGAATAAAATGCTACCTTTGTTTTGCCCTCCTCTAATCCATAAACTCACATAGTATAACATATTTGGTATCAATTATTTATATCGTCATTTCCAACTAACAGAAGGGAAAGTGGCGGCAAATGACCAAGCCCACAATGGAGGACGCACCTGCTTAGTGGTGTACAGAGTTTGATCAAAGCCATCCCTATCAGACGGACTTAATACTAGTTGCCATGAACCTTGGTAGATACAGCGTACATACACATAATCCATGACACTTCAAAGGGTTCTATGACGTCAGAGCAACCAAGGCAAATTATTGCAGGCAACTATGAAGTGATCCCAGATTAGCAAGCTGCAGATTAGTGCTAGAAGGGAAGTTCCTCATTTTGTAAGTGTATCCCAGAAAAAGCAGCAATGCTCTCAGTCAGCTTTGGGAACCGCACTTCAGGAGCTCTTTGCACTCCCCTCTTGGGGAGAAGAGAATCTATGAAGGCATTTTCCAACTCCATATGTAGGTATACCAAAGCCGATGTGCAAGAGAGGCAGTTGTTTACTGGAACCAAATAACTGGTATATTTAATACTAGCAGGGATCTAAATAATTGCATTTCTAGTTTGACATGCCAAGGGAACTCTGGCTTTCGTTTCTTGAACAGCAGTCCCTGGTGCTGCATGGCAAATAACTTTGGGAAATGAGGCTTTCAAAAGCAGTTTGCAATATGACATGGGTAAGTGTGAGCAGAAAAAATAAAAATAAAAACATTTTCCACTAGGCATGGAACCAAGACTACCAAATACTCCCTTAAGCAATATCAGCCATCTTGTTTTTTACATGCTGCCTTAGGTAATTTTCGTTGGAAAGGCAAATGAGCTCAGTGAGATGAAATTAAATGAATTAGCCAGCAGTCAGTACTGTCAGTTCCCAGTCCACTTTATGTGGTAAAGAAAAGGACTGGTGTTTAGAAAACAGTCCACCAATAACGTAAAAGCTCTTACAAGGAAGTGACTATCTGGTACAGTGAGCCTTTCGTACAGAAAGCGAGTTCTCATAAATGAATTCTGTGATGCGACAGCTTAACTGCTAAATGGCAAAGGCTACAATAGATCTAATATACACAATTTTGAAAATAGTAGCAAGCCCTGCCAAAACCAGGAATAGCATATAACCATTGGAGGGGGACAACATCTGATAAACATAATGCCTATAATAGTACAACAAACAAAATGTGAGTATTTTCCCACCCCGCCCCAAATAAACTTACCAATCCCCAAAGGGATCCATCTGTTGTGGCAACAATTGTCGCAGCTCTAGGAGTGTTGTACATCAACGCCAGTTCCCCAAAACTGCCATGATTATCGTAGCGGCCAACACAGCGAGTTTGGCCATCTCGTGTTACAAAAATATCATACAATCCCCTAGAATGATGGGAAAACAAACACCATGGACATTAGACCAAATATAACACTGCTAAAAAAACTCAACTTTGGCAAGAACACAAGGAATAAAATAAGATGGTTTCCGAATCTCTCCTCTGTGGTTTGGAGAGAATATACCCTGCCAACATGTATCCTGATCTGCCCTCAAAATAACTTGGCTATTTCCTTTTCACTGTGTTAGGTCTTTATTTGGAATTCCTTTTCTCTTGCAAGTGCTATATATATATATTTATAATTTGCAAAATATTGTATATTTTTTATTTACTGCTCTCAGAATAATATTTTTAAGTAGGTCATTATTATTTCTGTCTTACAGATGAGGAAATTTAAGCATAAAAAAAATTTACTTGCTCAGAAGGCACACACTAAGTGAACAGTTGAGATGGGATAGTAATATACGCCTTAGAAGGAGGAATATGTTAACATATCGCAGTGTCTATCAGTGATGTAGAGACTTTATTTTTTCATGAAAATACTTCTGTTTCATAAACTCTAAGTATGAATGCCAACTGCAAATGGCAGTTTCAAAGCTTTTAGTTTTTTGAAATAAAATAGATATGCAAAATTAGATCACAATCTATGCTACGAGAGAAATTTCTGATGCAAACTGAAAACTACCCTAAGCAAATTACCCTGTACTCAAATGACTGCAGTCGTCCATGAGACTTAATTTTGACCCCTAATGGTTAAATTTTCCATTAGGAAAAATACTAATTATGATAAGGTGTTCTCTTTATCTCAAGTGCCAATCTAGTCAACCTCTGTATGTACCATTTGAAGAAACCTGCACTGGGAGCCAATTATTTATATCCCACTATCACTCCAACTGCCAGGTTTACACACACACACACACACACACACAGTTACAATGTCTTGAGATATACTGAAGAACATTTTGTAATCTGACAACCTTACATCTGACCTGTTCCCCAAGGTACCATGCTATCCTAATAAAATACACTAGCACAGAAAGGATTATGATCTATCGCTACAAAAAGAGCAATGTTACTACTGAGCCCCAGAGGATTTTGTGTCTTCAAAGGGTTTGGGGCTTAAATGAGCATGAAGTTGTCAGTGTTTATTTATTAACTAAAACTTTATTTTAGAACAGCAGTGTTCTAAACTTGAGTTGAAGCCATGTTGCAACTTCCAAGACACCTACAACAGTTTTATAGCTGGTCTAGTTCAGTGCGGCTGCTACTGGATAATACAGAGCTTAGCGTGCAACTCTCACAAGTTAGGATTGTTGATTTCTATGTATAGAATAGAGGGAAGAAAGCATGCTATCCAACTAAGTTCAACTTGGAGTAGACACACTGAAATTAATATCTGTGCATGACTAATGTTGGATACAACCTTGATACTACAATATTGCCTTATGCTAATTGCTGAAGCTTTAATGCTAAAGACACTAATATTTTGGGAGAGCTCTACTTTAAAAGGCACTCACCCTATTGCATAAGTGACAAGCTAAACAATACCAACTAGTAACATTTTGCACACAATTTTTATTCCATGAGAGTATGAGCATGCAACATTTTCCCTTCATAAAAGTTAAATTTTCACACATTTTCAGCAAAATGCAAGAAAAGGAAACACGTGAAAGTTGTCATCACTGGAGAACAATACATAAATTGGCTCTTGACAAACATGTCTTAAATATGTCACTGATTACATTTGTACATCATGCTCAACCATAATTTAGCAAGACATGCAAACCTAGAGGTTACCAGAGCAGAGACAATAGTAGTTAGGCTATGCCTGTCCAGATAGGAGTGCAGCTGGGCCACCATCTGAAGTTGATGGAAGGCGCTCCAAGCCACTGAGGCCACCTGAGCCTCAAGCAACAGCTTATTTAATTAAAACTAACCATAGTTAATTAAGGTTAGCCACAGTTTCAGTTCCAGATGACTGGCAAGCTCTGAATCTCGATGGCCCTTGTGGTCTCTTCCAACTCTATGATTCTATTCTATTCTATGAATCAAACATCGAAGCAAAAGCTTCTGAGCTCCTCCTTCTGGTCATGCAAGGGGAAGAAACCCAAGGCTCACTGTGACTTCTTTCCACTTGTGCATGTTGCACTGAACTATGGCATAGTGTGGCATGCATAGACACTGTGTACTTATGATACAAAAAGCGAATCTCTATGTGGAACAAATTCTAAAACCCAGTGGCATGTGAACTAGCCAAGCAGTATTTGAGATCGATGGGACATACTAAAGTACAAGTTAATATCATTCCAGTTTATTCAATCCAGTTACAGTCATACCTCGGGTTAAAGTTGCTTCAGGTTGAGCATTTTTGGGTTGCGCTCCATGGCGACCCAGAAGTAACGGAATGCGTTACTTCTGGGTTTCGCCGCTCACGCATGCGCAGACGCTCAAAATGACCTCACGCGTGTGCACAGAAGCGGCGAATCACGACCCGCGCAGATGCGGGTTGCGGCAAACGGGGCTCCGAAATAGATCCCATTTGCATCCAGAGGTACCAGTGTACTAGAACTCATTTTTTCAAAACTACCATATTTTTCTGTGTATGACTATGTTTTTTTGCTTTAAAAAAATTAGTCAAAAATTGGGGATCGTTTTATACACTGATGAAGAAAGGACAGGGGTTCAGGCTCTGGCGTGGGCGGCCTGGGCTTGCGTTCAGGCTCTGCCCCGATTTCTTAATCTGGGCTTCAAAAAAATAGGGGTCATCTTATACATGGGGGAATCTTATACACAGAAAAATACGGTACATTTTTATCTGCAAAACTCCAAAGAGGTACATCTTCAAAGTTGTTTCAAATATCTTATTCAATCTTTTAAATATCTTATTAAATAGTTGTTCTATCTATGTGAGATTCTTATGTGCTCTTTTTAGATTTCAGATCCTCCCTTTTAATATTTTAAACTTTAAACTTTTAGCTTTTAAACATTTTATTGTATCTTTGATTTGTGCTGTAATACACTTGGAGATTTATTTGAAGAGTTATATATATATTCCTATAGAAATGAATAAATAGATAATGCATATACAAGTCCCTGTTAAAAATCTTGTGCCATTTTAAGACTAGCTGAGCTGAACTCTTAAGAGACTTTATTCCCACAGCCATTTATCCATTGGTTCACCAGTCTTATTATCATCCTCGTTCCACAGGAAACCATAAATGTTCATATTTCACTATTATCTGTAGAAGAATTAAGTAGGTGTTCATCAGTAAAACTGTCAGAATAATAATATTTAAGAGGGAACATTACATGACAGTTTTAGACACTTCAAAAATGATATAAACATATTTCATGACTAACGCACAAGCTTCACAAAAAGACCATTCTTCTTACTTGGAGATAATGTCAACATAGTTAAAGAGATAATGTACAAAATCAACTTACCATAACTCTGACAACTGCCCCAAAGCTTCAATGAAGAATCAGGCTATGCACAATTAAAGTTGCTGGTGTTTTACAGTAGAAGCATTATAAATCCTATGAGTATTGTTGATGGTTAGCTAATGTAATGCGCATTTTGTACACCTACACTCAAAGGGATCTTTTGACTGCATCTGCCATTGACAATTAATGAATGAGCCATAAAATGAAGGCTGAAGTATTATCCAGGTATCATGTGTGCTTTCAACCATATCATGTTTGTAGAACCCTCTTCTCCAGTATGCACCCTGCTTAGAAAATTCCATTTCCTAGCAAGGCACTCCTAGGTACTAAATTACATTTCAGAATACCATTTTCTACTCAGATAAAAAACCAAGTCCTAAACCCATGATAAAGCTATGCTTTAGCATCTTACCGTTCAATTACATAAAAGTTGTCTCCATCATCTCCTTGGTCGATTACATGATCCTGAGGTTGAACTTTCATTTCAAACATGGCATCAAGAACCTGCGATAGTTGCTCCTGAAAGGACAATAACGCTTGGGTGAATACATTGGCTTATTTTTATGCCCCAAATCGTCCTGTTTGTGCCTACAGTCCCATGTTCCATGTGAGGAGAAAGGTCAAGTAGCCATTGTAAATAATGGCTTCTTGGAAAAATTCAAGCTTATTTGCACTTTCCAACATGGCAACTATCTCCACGAAGGGAAAATCTATCTCATGAAGCAATCCAACTATTTAACTCTGAAAGCAGACATTTATTTTAACATTTGCCGTGGGGGTCAAGCAAGCAACCAACTAACTCGAGGCACTTCTACAGTTCTTATATATAAGTACATTTTGCACGTGACCACCAATGCACAGGTCCCTTTGGACCCAGAAGAGGGCAGCACAGGGGCAGAGGGGGCAGAACAGGCTTATGCGTGCTCTGCTAACATGTGTGAAGGCCAAGAACAGAGCCTGTTGCAGCCTGTATTTTCACTCACTTTGCAGCAACACGCACGTGAGGATAAGAAGTGAAGTAATCAAAGCACCTGCACACTAAATACTTTATTATTAAATGGGAGTAAGTCTTAACAGACAAAGCCAGAAAATGCTTTGTTTCAAAAACCTGCTTCAAACATTATACAGTGGTACCTCAGGTTACATACGCTTCAGGTTACAGACTCTGCTAACCCAGATATAATGCTTCAGGTTAAGAACTTTGCTTCAGGATGAGAACAGAAATTGTGCTCTGTGGTGCGGCAGCAGGAGGCCCCATTAGCTAAAGTGGTGCTTCAGGTTAAGTACAGTTTCAGGTTAAGTACGGACCTCCGGAACAAATTAAGTACTTAACCTGAGGTACCACTGTAGTGTAAATAGCACACAGAAAAGAATGAGAGTCTAGATGGTGGGCTTCATTAACACAGAGTACTTTTTATCACAGCTTGTATCTGTATTGATTCTGAAATTGTTTTAACTGGGTTGTATCCAACGAAATCATTGTACATGCAGAACTATTTTTGTGAGTGCAATGAAACTCCCCCCCCCCAAAAAAAAGAACTGCTTTGGGAGCTCCTGAAGCCAATTTGCAGGTGGCTTGGGAGTTGCACAGGGAGCAGAGAGGGAGGAGAAATTCTAGTGCACTCATGGTAGACATTTAGTTGGCTAGAACCCATTGTTTTTATATGTTGTTTTACCGTATTTTTTGCTCTATAAGACTCACTTTTCCCCTCCTAAAAAGTAAGGGGAAATGTGTGTGCGTCTTATGGAGCGAATCCAGGCTGCGCAGCTATTCCAGAAGCCAGAACAGCAAGAAGGATCGCTGCTTTCACTGCGCAGCGATCCCTCTTGCTGTTCTGGCTTCTGAGATTCAGATTTTTTTTCTTCTTGTTTTCCTCCTCCAAAAACTAGGTGCGTCTTATGGTCTGGTGCGTCCTATAGAGCGCAAAATACGGTAATTGTTGATGTTTTTACAGTTGAATCACTTTAAGATAGGAAGCAATTCATAAATTGAAATAAATAATTTCTACACATTTTAATCAGCTCTGAGTAGCAAGATAGAAGTGGGATTGAGGACATTACTGAAAGGATTTTTGATTCAGAGGACGGGATTCCCTTAACTGAAAAAAGGCCCCAGAGCAATATAACTTTCATTTAGTAGCTGTTATCTGGAAGTACAATATTGTGCATTACAAAATGAAATGGCACTTGCCAAACAATTACAAAAATAGTTAAGTAAAAAAAAAAAATCTCTATGAAAAATCAGGTTAAAATCAATGCAATTACCATATTATTTCTATCAGACATGAAACAGTTGTAAGAAACTATATTTTCAACCCATAATTTTATTTAATTCATGTGAGAAGCATAATCATCCATTCGCAACTTGCAAAAGTGTTTAACTGTACAGAATTAAAATACTGTGATGACACTGAGACCAATTTTATATTACATTTTATGTTCTCGAAGTTGTCATCTTAATCATCAAATAGGACACAAATATTTCTTATCATTAACATGCAGAAGCAAATCTGTTTATGTCCTAATGCAACCTTTCAACTTTGAATGATGCTTGCTAGGCAGTGAGCCTGCAAATACATCCTTTATTATCTTAGTGTTGACCAGCCTACTTAATAACACATATTTTCCTTTCTTCTATAGCAAGTGCTGTTTAGTGACTAAGAACCACTTTTCAGCCTGAAGGCCGCGCAAGCATTTCACTGTTACACATACACCCAAGTCTATACTATCAGTTACTAAAATTTTGTTTGATACTGACACATATGAACTCAGTTCTCAGTTGTAGCTTGTTTGCAGTATTACTGCTTTTTGAATGATTAAAGCTGAAAGTGCTACAGTAAACATTTTGAAAGCACAAGGGATTATCTCAAAGCTGCCGAAGAACCGCAAAACAAACTCTGGACCACCTTCAGTGCAAAGAGGGGGTGGGATTTGAAAGGTTTCAAACTCCAGCAGTTTGGGGAGCTGACATTCAGACAAAAGGTTGTTCCTCCCTGTTCAAATCCTATCAAAGGACGTTCTAGGGCTTTCATCATACCAGGATTCCCGGTGCATGCAGCGTTTCTGAATTATCATTAAAAGGATGCAGATAGTAGCTAAGCAACCTATTAACAAAGCAAAGAAAACCTAGAGAAATAAAGGTTTCAAAAGGTTTTACAGCGCCTCTATAATCATACTTTCTAATAGCTGGCAAACAGATGGGGCAAATCAAGCTGGGTCACAGGATGGAATGAGTATCTCAAGGGCTTCCATAGGTTTGCACAAGAGAATAAACTCCTCTACTTCTGATTCACCACTCCATTCATCACCACCATCATCCTCTGGCAGATGATCAGAGTCAAGGTCTTCAGGGGAAACAAAGTGTCTGGGCAGGCACTGTGTTCCCCTATCCTGAAGTGCAGGGGCAGCAGAAACCCTGGGCTGGGAGTGAGGAGCCCTGTGTGAAGGTCACGCTCTAGGCCAGGGGTTAAGCCCCGGGCCGATGTGGCCCAATCACCTTCTCAATCCGGCCCGCGGATGATCTGGGAATCCACGTGGTTTTACATGAGTAGAATGTATGCTTTTATCTAAAATGCATCTCTGGGTTATTTGTGGGGCATAGGAATTCATTCATTTCCCCCTCCCCCCCTCAAAAAAAACCACCTTGACTCAGAGAGGTTTCCAGGGAATGAGGAAATTCCTCTAAGTTCATCTGAGGACGAGCTTCCCTGTTAAGTGATCTAACTGGTGAACTGCATGCTCTCCTTCAACAGGAATAAATTGTTGCCCTCCTCTCTTTGCCTTGTGAGTGCTCCTAAACCAAAGCAGAGGTACAGTCACGCCCCTAATAATTGCAGAAGGACCTGATCTGCCCCCCACCCCAAGAGGGAGAAGGAGAGGCTGGCAAACCAGGAAGATCTGCCATAACTGAGCTGAAAGTGGTAAATACTGCTACTGGGTGGCAGCTAGAGCTAAAACTTGAGTAGAAGCAGAGTTAGCTGTAATCATGTCTAGTTCCTTTACAGGCTGTAATTTTGCTGCTGCAATTTGCTCCTCGCAGGAAAGTGTGGATTTCTTCTGTGTCTTGATCATCGTTAGCAAAAAATGCAAAGAAACTGGCTAGCCCCCCACTGAGCTAAGGTCTAGTGGTTTGAAAAGCCTTAACTGTACTGAGCAAAAGGCTGGAAGCAGGAAGGAGGTTAACTAAAAGCAGCAAAATGCAATAAAGAGTCTGAAGGGATTGTAGATAAGGAAACTAACAACTGAATTGGCCTTAAAAAATGAGTGAAATGAGTGGGAAAACACCAGAGCGCTGGATGGAGCGCTGAGAAGAACCAACAATGAGGCTAAACAGAGAAATTCAACAAGAGGTAGAAGAAACAAGGAAAGAGCCAGCCTGAAAGAAGTTTCGGGAAGAAAGAACCGCTTTCTGCGACGCAAAATAAAAAACCAAAGGAGGAAGTTGCGGGGAGGAGCTAAGACAGCAACTTCCTGTTTGAATTCTTTATTTTTATAAGCTTGCACTGTTACCTATTGACCACCAGGCAGTTCCTAACCTAAATCTCAATCTAGCCACAGCTTTTGTGGGATTCTCCAGAGTACACATCCATACTCTCAGCTAACTGGTGGAACTGCTCAATTATGTAGGGTTGACATACGTCTGGAATTTCCCGGACATACCCAGAATACTGCAGTCGAAAGCAGCGTCTGGGCGGAAATCAGCTAAATGTCTGGACATATGGTAATCGCTGTCAGCAGTGTCGTTTTCCCCCCAATATTCCTCAAAAATCGCTCTAAAACATCCAATTTCTTAGCGGTTTTGCAAAAAAAGCTCAATAATATGGCTCTCCTAAATTATGGAACAGCTTGGGTAGGTGCTACCAGGTTTGTTCCAACCACCAGTACACTTGGTTTGGTTTCTGACTTCCATGATTAAGACTTGCAAAGACACATCAGCCTGAACATTTTCAACAGATGAAGGAGTGTGCCCCAGGCAGTACTATTTCTTGTTCCTTCTCCCAGCAAAACTACCACTCAGGCATTCTGCTGCTCAGGAAGGGAGAGGAAATCTGACAGCACCATAAATACAGCCTCTGGTGAGAGCTAACTTGTCTCCCTTCGCTCAGCCTCACTTCTGCAAACACCTGACTATGAATTCCCCTTGCTGGAATTTAATGAATAAAGAGCAGTCACATGTAATTTATGAATAACCTTGAAATTATGGCTACACTTATAAGAAGTTCAGGACAATTAAGGCTACTGGATTAAAAGACAGCTTGTTCCAGTTAGCTTAAAAAGCGGTTTCACAAAGTTGAAGCTAGAATGACAATCATTCTTCTTGGGTGCATCATAGAACAGAGTGGCAAGAAATGGTGAAGAACACTATAGACCAAGACTGAATTGCTGTATAAACAGTAATGCCAGGGCAATATATTATCCAAACATAAATGGCAATTAAGAGCGGATTGAACTCTGTGTTTGCACAAAATGACGGACAGATAAACAAATGCCGCCTGGATTCTTCATTTTAGAATGGTGAAACAGAAAAAAAAGCTGTCATGGCATGCTAACCTTGAAACAGGAAACTATGTTTTCGCCTTTTATCACTGCACCATTCCAAAGAATACCTACAGAAGGGTTTGCTACCTTATTGAATTCTAACCTTTCACTGCTCACTGACACTTGCTGATCCTGGACTGCCTCTATAAGTAGCACAGGCCAACCTTTCATAACCTGGCCAAGTATCAGGTTTTATACTGATTGCACTCATAGCTTCCTTGCACTCTCTTCAAGGACTGTCAGGATGTTACGAAAAATCTGAAGTGCCCAAAGTGGGTCCCCATGTAACAGAGCAAAGCAAACGTTGGGTTTTATATATATTTGAGTGTCATGGCACTGATGGAAAATCACTAGTGTTATAGAACAGCCTTTTTTTGTAGCCTATGGTGCATCGCTGAAAGCACAGGGGGAGAATCTCTTCATCTCTCTATCATTCTCAGGCTGAAGAAAGAGGGATATGTCAAAATCCCTCTCCCAGGCAGAGAAAACAGGAAGAGAATACTAGGGAAGAACAGATCATAAATTTAAAAAAAAAAAAACTTTTAAAACAGCTCTTTCCTTTTCTTATTTATGTCACGTAAGACACCAGTACAAATGACAACTTAAATACTACCATAAATATCACTTTCCTGATGCCTTATAAGGTTATTTGTTAGTAGATGCGCTGGATGAGCAACAACGCTTTTGCAAGCGCTTCAGCTTTGTTCACTGTTTATCCTAGGCATAAATATCCTTCTTTGGTTGCCTGATGTGTGCAGAGTAGCAAATATTTTCTCCAAAAAGCCAACCGAAAGAATGCTTTGTGACAGAATAATGCATCAGTAATTGACTAGCAAAAATTAGCTGGTTTGCATAGTAATTTGGTCATTTGATTGGAGTGCTTTAACCTAAGGACTGATTTGCTTTTTTATTCTTTTCAATTAGTGTCCTATTATCCTATCCATTAAAAACTCTGGGAGTTCCTTAGTTAATTTATATTCAATATTTGTAAATTCCCTTAAATGACAGTGTTCAGAAAGTAGAACGATATAATATTTCTCCCTCTGCCATAAACTAGAACTTCCAGTGGAATCAATTAGCAGTAGGCTCAAGACATAAAACAAAGGACTTCGTAAGACAGTGCATAATTTAAGAAATTCACTTTCACAAAATGTCCCCAAAGACTGAACCAGCTGCTATTAGCCATGGAAGCACTATGCTGTGAGGCACCATGGCACCTACAAGCCCACAGTGGGCAAGAGTAAGATGGACTAAATAGACCTTTGGTCTGCTGTGGCATAAAATTATAGAGTTGTAGAGTTGGAAGGGACCACAAGGGTCATGTTCTCATATACTTGGTCTAAGGCTGAAGTTCTATGTACAATTTACTAGTGCTTAAGTCTACTGGACTCAAGGGGCTTACTTCTGAGTAAACAGGCACAGGGACTGGGCTGTGGCATTCTATTTTTTTCTCTTTCTAACTAATCTATAGCAGGTGTGGGGGATCTTTCATTCTCCAGATATTGCTGAACTGTAATGCCCATTATTCCTGATCATTGACCATGCCTGCAAGGACTGATGGGAGTTGTAGTTCAGCAAATATCTAGAGGGCCAAAGTTTCCCACTTCTGCTCTATGTGGAAAAGCATGAACAGTCATATGCTAACTGAAGACTTAAAAAAAAAATACTGCGTTTGATGGGTATTCGTTCCAGAGGTCCACACTTAACCTGAAACTGTTCTTAACCTGAAGCACCACTTTAGCTAATGGGGCCTCCTGCAGCTGCGCCGCCGGAGGACGATTTCTGTTCTCATCCTGAAGCAAAGTTCTTAACCTGAAGCACTATTTCTGGGTTAGTGGAGTCTGTAACCTGAAGCATATGTAACCTGAGGTACCACTGTACTGACAATAGACAAGGCAACAGAATGCACAAGGCCTTAATACAGCAAGAGAAAAAAGGCACTGAGGTGGCTAAGGTAGGTACTTCCCCAAGTGGTACCAACATGAAGCACTAGGCTATCGCTATTGCCAAGGTCATTCACCTAGCGATAAAGGCGCAGGAATTCTTGTGAATGTGCTGCTCTTGAGGAGGAAGAACAAGGTGAACCTCTGAGTCAACAATGATTATGTTGCAAAGAACTAACAAGATAAGACATCAAATAAAAGTAGTCAACACAACAAAAGCAATGCTACCTGATCTAGATTTTTGAAGAGGAGGATATCTTTGCATGCTTCTTGCAATCTGCATCTCTGCTCATCTGTTTTGGGATTTACTACCTGCAAAACATAACAAAGGGAAAAAATTATAGGAGAATAACCCAGCTTAAATTTAGAATATACCATCTTACTTTAAATCTGAACAGTGAAAATTCAAACATGTGTACAGAAATACCGTATTTTTCACTCTATAGGACGCACTTTTTGCCCCTCCAAAAATGAAGGGGAAATGTGTGTGTGTCCTATGGAGCGAATGCAGGCTTTCGCTAATTTTTTCCCCCTTTATTTCCCCCCCCCCTAAAAACTAGGTGCGCCCTAGGGAGCGAAAAATACGGTAGGTACCAAATTTGATCGATAGATGGGTGTGTGGAAATTCCACTTGTGGAACAGGGCTTCCCAATACAAACATGTGGGACCACCACCCCCGCCAAAAAACCCCAAACTCATCCAAGTGTCAAAGGACCTTCTGGAATGAGTAAAATGGGAGATTTTGGCAGGGTTCCCTTGCACAAGTGGAACTGTATTTCTGTTCACACAATACATCTCTGTTTGGTATCCAATGATTAAATGGATACCATTAAGTGCACCTCAGTAAATTTCATGCTCTATGTTTGTTGGAGAGTACTCTGAAAATACCTGTGCTAAGGAGCAAGTTTTTCCCATTGCTATCTAGTTTGTTATTCATTTTTAAAAACTTTAAATAACTTGAGGAAATGAGTGAAAGAGAATGCTTGTTTAGAAGTGTAACTATATTTGCTCTAGAGAGGTTTTCCCTATTTGAAAGTATGGACTTATCCCATGAAAAATATGAATGTGTGAGAGTATGAACAGTTTGTTAAGTAATATTGAGCATTCTCTAAAAATAACTGCATCTGAAATCCCAAACAAGCCTATCCACACTTTTATTTTTTATTTTTTAAAAGATATTTATTAAAGTTTCAAACAATAAAACAAACTTCACAAAACAGGATAAGAAAAAAGAAAAAACACCATCACAATCAATCCAAAAAACAGAAAAGCACAGTAGAAAACCCATCATAAAAAGCAAAAGAAAAAAGACATAAAAAAGACATAAGAAAACCAATTTCTTAGATATTGTTCTCATAATCCTCCTTCCAGACTCCCTCGCATCTCCCTTTTCTGTGTTCCCTTTTACACAATCTTATTCAGCAATGCCTCACCTTCTTTCAAATCTTATTTCATATTATACATTTCAACTATTATGCCTCCAATTTTTCCCCATTTTTTCATTTTATTTAAGTTTGACATATATTATTCTGACTTCACCTTTGTTCTGTAAACCATTTTTTACATACTCCTTTCAACTATATCACTAATACCATATTATCTTTATATCCCGCATCATTCTAACATTCATACAATTTGCAATACTTTTGCAAGTAGTCTTTAAATTTCTTCCAATCCTCTTCCACTAGCTCTTCTCCCAGGTCTCGGAGTTATACTTGAAGGCCTATCCACACTTTTAAAAATTGTATAAAACAAATGTTTCTGCTTTTTACAGCATGTGGAATAATACTGGGAGTTTTTAGGGGGATGATAGGTATCTCCTACTATTAGTCAAATTCTTGAAAAAGTAATGCATCCCACTTCTACAAAGAGGCGTTGAAGAGATGTGAGGAAATCTGGGTATCAATTTTACTAATTTTACATGCCACCACAAGTAGTATGATTAAAGTCTCACAGATAAAAGGCCTTCAAGTATAACTGTGAAAACCCTTTGCTGTTCAGTCTGTAACACAGCTGCAATGCCCTACAGAACAAAGTGTTGCTGCATCACTTATGACTTCACTTTGTAAACCCACAGATCCATGTTATAATGAGGCCAGGTAGCACACACAGAACTGCTTCTTGTAGAACCAACAGTATCTGTCCCACGAATCTGTGCAAAAATCAGATACAATTTGTTCATTCTCCCTTACCCTTGGTTCTGTGTCTTCCTCTTCTTCATCTGGGTTGAATGCTTCTGCACAGACTTGAAAGAGAAGAAAATATTTTTAAAAAAATTATAAACATGCATAAAGAACAATAAACTCGTGTGTGTGTGTGTGTGTGTGTGTGTGTGTGTGTGTACACACACACACACACACACACACACAAGCTTGCCATGCTGCATTGCAACCTATTTATTGTGTATGAGGAAGATGTACTGGTATCTTCAATTATGTTATTGCTCCCAGTTTTGGCTAACTGTTCGGTAGAAAACACACTATCGCAATTGTCTAAGCCAGGCATGTCCAAAGTCCGTTTCGGGACCCTAATCCGGCCTGGCAGTCAATTTAATCCGGCCCCCATGGCAGTATATGTCCTGGGGTAAAATCCTTAAAAAGCTCAGCAACTTCAATCCTTGATCAGTTCACTTCATCAAATCAGGCCCTCTTTGTAAAACGTTTGGGCACCCCTGGTCTAAGTAAAGCAAAGACTTCTTCCTCAATTGCATAACCCCCAATGGCTGGCTTGGTTTAGCCCATTAAGTCAAAGTCACTCAGCAGAAAGCTAGGAGGGGGAAACTGAAAGCTTTTTCTGTTGGGGAGCTGAATAATATTTCTCTGACCTTATCACCTTCCATAGGGTAAATTCAAATTATATATACGCATGGGAATTAACATGAGGATGAGAAATTAGTTCTTGTATATCTGTCACTGTTATATTTGTATGGTGACTGCAGGGCTATGCCCTTCAAGCTATAAATTATAAAAGTGTCATTTACTGTAGTTGTCTTGTTGCATTGGGACTAAAGCTGTTTGCAAAGAAGCAACTTTGCAATATCCAGCACCTTGGCACATTAGAGGAACATTTGGACTGTCTGACTCTACAGCTTGCAAACCAGAAATGTCTAATATTCTTTCAGACTATTGTGTTGTTCACGTGTTAAAAACAAATTACTTATGCATTAAACTCCTTTTTTGTAAATAAAATTTTATTGATTTTACAATTTCAGCTTCAACAATTATTTTCCATCCTAAGGGGGAAAAAGAATGAGAGATACAAAATATCCAACGCAAAGTATAAGAAGTAAAATAAAAAAATAAACATCTTCTTGGGGCTTCTCTTTAACGTTCGGACTTCCCTCCATTTCCTTTCCTGGTTCATTGAATATATATATTTTCTGCATAATTATACTTAAACCTCTTTTTTCTTATCCTTATTATTTTATTCTAATTACATACCATCAGTTTTTATTGTTTCAGTTCAAATTTCCTTCCATAAACTTTATCTTATTTTAACTACTTGCAAGTGTTTGGGTCAAAGCCTGCCAATGTTTCTACTTGTTTACATTATTTTTGTACATATACAATAAATGCCTCCGATTTTTGCATTAAACTCTTTTTAAGCATCTGCTTTTATTGCATAAATATGGCTGCATCTAAAATAAATTCCCCCCACTTTAACTATTCACAAGCTTTATGCCACCTAAGTCCCATAGGACCTACACAGCCAGAAGTTACAAACACTGCAAGTGTGCAAACACAGATCACTGCAATGACAGAAAATTGGGATTTGGTCTATATAGAATTGTTTCATTAAGTGATATTGATGCTGGAGATCTATGAAGAGATTAAAAATGTTGTGGAACTGAATGGTACAATAGTTAAAATCCAAAAAATAAAGGGAAATGGTCCGGACTCCTGGTGCTGTTTGGAGAATAGGAAAGGAGCGCAGGAAGCAGAGGCTGCATGGAAAGTGGGACATATATATGTCTGTGGATGAAGAGGTCACAACATTCCTTTGGGTGGAAGCAGATACTATTGGATACTATTGCACTGTCCTATACTGTCCCCATATGACAACTGGGCTTAGAGCTACGTATAATGAGTAATACTTTGGTTAGCAGGATTGCCGGGGGGCCTTAACTAGCCCTGCTTAAAGGGGGAAAGAACTAGAGATTACACTGGATACAAAAATCCTGCTTTACAAGAGAGAGAGAGACAGAGAGAGGGGGGGGGAGAGAACTTCATTCTCACTGAACATGGATGGGTACACTCTGCATCAATATAACCACCAATACTAACAAAATGATATTATGGATCTGTATTTGCTATCCAGAAAGAATAAGGGTTCCGTATACTGTAAAACTAAATATTTAAACTGAAGCTTGTGAGATTTTATCAACCCAATCTGTATTAAAAGAAGTAAATAAAATTTATAACTAAAGTTAAGTCATATGCAGAAAGATTACTTGAACAGGATACATTAAGTCAATGATACCTCATTTTCTGGTGCAGCATAAAGCTCCTAGGGAAGTGAATAACCAACTCTGAACACAAATTAGTAATCCATATATCCCCTAAAGCAGGCATGTCCAAAGTCCATTTCAGGGGCCCAATGCAGCCCGCTGGACGGCTTAATCCGGCCGCCTTGGCAGTTTATTTCCTGGGCTAAAATCCTAAAAGAACTCAACAACTTCAATCCTAAAAAAAAGTAAACAACTTTGGTCAGCCTCCACGGCCCTTCACTTCATCAAATCTGACCCTCTTTGAAAAATGTTTGGACACCACTGCCCTAAAGCCTTCCAAAGACTTAGAACAGTCATTTCAACTTTGAAGGGTCATTATATTCTACTATACAGATACAGTGGTGCCCCGCAAGACGAATGCCTCGCAAGACGAAAAACTCGCTAGACGAAAGGGTTTTCGTTTTTTTAGTCGTTCCGCAAGACGAATTTCCCTATGGGCTTGCTTCGCAAGACGAAACGTCTTGCGCGTTCTTGCAAGTTTGTTTCCTTTTTCTTAAAGCCGCTAAGCTGCTAATAGCCACTAAGCCACTAATAGCCGTGCTTCGCATGACGAAAAAAACCGCAAGACGAAGAGACTCGCGGAACGGATTAATTTCGTCTTGCGAGGCACCACTGTACCATTATACTGAAACAGAAAAGCAACTCAAATTTGTATTCAGAGCAATTAAATGTTGTTCCCAACTATTCTGAATATACAGTTTAGCATTTTAAAAATTGGTGTGACTGTCTGCAAACACTGGGCTGTAATCATCTAAATCCTTTATCATTCTCTACAAACAAAGCCAGGTGCTTTAACTCTCCAACTATTTGACTTTACCCCCTTAGGCGCACGCTTCCATTGTCTCACAAACAGACGGGTGCCAGCATTAACTTCAATAGGTCTACTCTGAGTAGGACTAGCATTAAATGCCACCTAATGGGTTTCATCCAATGCCAGTCCTACTCAGAGTAGATCTAGTCAACTTAATGAACCTGACTTTGTGCTCAATGCACCCAACCAGCCAGGTCTCACGCAACAGGGCTTTCCCCCCACTCTACTCCCACTGTGAGCCCCCCAAAACTGCAGGGGGGTCATTTCACCTAGGAATCAGGAATGTTTGCACAGACTGGAGGAAGCTGTTACAGCTTTTCTATTTAATTTTATCTCTCCTTGCTTATTCTACAATTTTTATGTAAACAGGTTTGTGGGGTCCACCTGAAAAGCAATATATACCATATTTCACTGCATAATGGTCGCCACTGTGTAATAGTCACACCCCCTTTCTTTGGTCCCTAAAATCGGTCCCCAAAGCATTCATCGCATAATAGTCACAAGGTGTAACTCTCAGCGTGTGCATTCTCAGTACCAAAAACAAGTACACCTACCCTGAAATACTACTGTAGTAGAATCTCAAACTACAACTAGGAGAAATGCCTCTTTTCTTACCTTACAGTTACAAACAGCTGAGAGAATTGAGATCCTATGTCACATGGCAAGGTTGGAATGGTGTTGAGTCCTCCCCTCCTTGCCATCCTGCAATTCATTTTGCCAGTAAGAGATTCACCTGCTACTTCCTCCTTTCTAGCTGGAATCTATGTGTTTGGAGCCAAGCCAATCCCATTAGTTCCTTGTTCAAATCTGAACTTTAATTAAGGCTGCATTAAAAGATGAATCTATAACTTCTACTTTGCTTTGATTGCAAGACTAAAGAGAACAAGTCTGAAGGGTGGGGGGTTCTCCTATGCGAGAACCAGTTGTAAGGTTATTTTGAATGAGCTGATATGCGGTGAGTGAAATTTAACTGCCCCTCCCCCACCCTACCACTCATCCTGAAACCATTCACAAAATTTTAAAAAGTCCTGGAGGCAATGAAAGGCTCCATGCAGCCCTAAGCAAGAACAATAAAAGATTTATAAAAAGAAATTATGACCAGTACTGACAGCAAATATTCTTTCAAGAGAATATATTACGGTATGCTCAAGTCATTCAGTGAAATTGATCAGGAGAAGGTTCTTGCCCAAACAATTTATTCATTCCACACATTATGTGGAATGCACTGCTGCAAGGTGCAGTCGTAATCACTAGCTTAGACAGCTTTTTAAAAAGATATGTCCTCTGTGGATTTGTCTGAATAGATATTTAAACATGACAGCTAAAGGTGCTGTTCAATATTTGAAGGCGGTATACCTCTAATTACCAGTTGCTGAAGACAAATTGGCACAGGATGCTTATCATTATACCATGCTGCGTGTTTCCCAGGAGCACAGCTAGCTACTCCAAGAGACAGTGGATGGCCTAGATGGCTCATTGGCTGGATCCAGAAAGGCAGGTATTGTTGGACTGACCTGGAAAGTGCCCTCAACTTTATTTATAATTTGTTCCCTTCTCAGCTTTCTATAGCAACACTCAGGTCAGTATACAATTAAAAGCAGCACAACAAAATATACACTCAATTATCCTTCAAGGACAAGATGTTTCTGGTCTCTCCCCCCCCCCTCTCTTTTGTAAGTATGGTTGCTTTCAAACCAGAAATTTCTTGCCTTTTTTTGGAGTCTGCTTACATAGTGAAAGTAAAGATGCCTAAGAACAGCAAAAGATTAGGAGTCAGAATTGTTTTAACCTTACTTTGTTCCTCTTCTGTTTATGTTTTGCTGGAGTCTACACCATTAAGAATTTTACAGAGACACTCATTTGTACTCTATTCACTAGCCTGAGTCAACTCTTGGAACATTGCCCAGCTTATTGAAGTGAATAAACC